GTTCCATGAAGACAAAGACTAGGTATGCCTTAGTAAGCATTATATTTCCAGTAACAGGAAGGAAGGACTTCTTTTCTTTCCAACGAGCAGATTTTTCTGCATCTTTTACATATGACGGAAAATGGCCATTCTAATCCTTGAACTCCAGGGCCACCAATTGATCAGTATTCCAGTATTTTACTTCCAAATTCTTAGAATGAGAATCTTGTTGACTAAACTTAGACATGTTCTATCATGATCTGCCCATAGTTTACTGGAAGATCTAGGTCAAGCAGAATCAACATGGCTACAGAGACTTCTCAGGGAATAGGGGAAATTCCCAAAGAAGGGAAAAGGATTTGAGCAGACACCCTCAAAACTATCTGCTGCAGTCACTATAGCTGACTCTAACAATCTTGTTCTCAAAATTATTCTCATCCATACAAGGGAACAATCTCTACAGGGGGTTCCTTAAGGAACAGGATGGTGACAAAGTAGTTCTGACTCTTTCTCTCTGAGTTTTGTCTCTCCTTTGGGATTCTGTCACTTTGATTACCACTGCTACTTCACTTTGATCCCTTGGGAGCAGGGGGGTTACTCTTCTCCTTTTCTATCAACGTTAACATTGGAAAAACAATAACAAAACCAAAACCAACCAACCAAACAAAAAAAAAAAAACCCTTTCCTTGATTCTCCATAATGCTGTTGGGATAGATAAGCCAGAATTTTCAAAAACATTTTAATAAATATTAAGGAAGAGCAAAAGAGAAATGAAAAATACAAGACCATAAAAAACTGTGGCTCACAAAGAAAAGGTTTCTAACTCCTTCCCTGGATATATAGTTCTTATCTCATTTCATTTAGGATCAAAGGGAAAAAGAGGTGCCTTATCAGAATATCTGAATGTTTCACCCCAACAGCACAGAAAATAACAATGACAAAAAAATAAAGTTCAGCTCTACTAGGATTTTTCCTGTAACATGTCTTCCAACTTAAAAAGGAAAACAGGGGTGCCAGTTAAGTGTCTGCCTTAGGCTCAGGCCCTGATCTCAGGGTCCTGGGGATGAAGCCTCAAGTCAGGCTCCCTGCTCCGTGAGGAGTCTGCTTCTCCTTCTCTCTCTGCCCTGCCCCTCCCCCACCCCTGCCTGTGCTCTCACATACATAAATAAAAATCTTAAAAAAAAAAAGGAAAACAGAAAATAACATTTTCTATCTAATTATTGTTAACTGAAACTATTTCTATATGTTTGGTCCTTTCTACCTTTTTTAAAAAAAGATTTTAAGTAAGCTCTACATCCAACATCAGGCTCCAACCCATAACCCCGAGATCAAGAGTCACATGCTCTACCGACTGAGCCAGCCAGGCCTCCTGGTCATTTCTATTTCTTAAAGACCTTTAAATATTTATGAAATATGTTTAAAGGCACCTGCCTAACTAGTGATACAATCCAGTTATTTTTTGGTCTTTAGTTTCTTACATGGACAGTCGTTTAAAACAAGAACAGCAGCAACAATAAAGCTTTCCTCTTTTTTATTGTTAATATAAATTAGAACATAACTTGAAGTAACATATAGGTAGGATTCCCTAAAAACATTTGTAGATGGGGACTGAATACAATTCATCTAAATCAACATGAGTTTCCATTAAAACTTTTTCAAGTGTGTTTCATTCTGATAAGTATGTCCCATGTCCTATCACATTTTTTTCTTTTTAAAAATTTTTTAAAGCTTTTATTTATTTGACAGAGATTTATTTATTTATTTATTTGACAAATATTTATTTATTTGACAGTGAGAGGGGGAACACAAGCAGGGGGAGCAGGAGAGGGAGAAGCAGGCTTCCCTGCAGAGCAGGGAGCCCAACGCGGGGCTCGATCCCAGGACCCTGGGATCATGACCTGAGCCAAAGGCAGATGATTAACGACTGAGCCACCCAGGCGCCCCACATTTTTTTTTTCCTAAACAGAGACTGTGAGCTGGTTTGTAGTTTTTAGCTTAAATTAAACTAATTGTTTAAACTGTTACGTTTTCCAGATTGTCATGCAGTTTTAATATTGTCTTGGCCTCCCTTTTGTATGCACTATTTTCCCCACTATACCTAATCAGAAATAATTCCCATAGTTTTAAAAACTTTTTATATTAGTTACTTACATTCACACATGATATATCAAATTAAAACTGTTTGAGCTCTAGAAATATGTAAAGTTTGAGGTTTTTTTCTGTGGTTAAAAAAATGAGGGACTATAATGCTTTGAGTTCAGTTTAAATGAGGATTCTATTTTATTTTTTAATAAGTTTTGTTTTTAATTTTTATATTTTTGATTTTATTTATTTGTCAGAGAGAGAGAGTCAAGCAGGGGGAGCAGCAGGCAGAGGGAGAAGCTGAGCAGGGAGCCCACGACCCTGGGATCATGACCTGAGCAAAAGGCAGACCCTTAACCGGTTGAGCTACACAGGCATCCATGAGGATTCTATTTTAAAGTATTTACAGTAGCATGGTGTAGGTTAAAACAAGGCTGGGCCAAGCAATTAGATTTAGGTTCATTCTCCATCTCTGCCACTAAGTAATACTGTTGTCATGCTCCTTATTAATTAAGTAAATTATGGCCTATTTTCTTTTACCTGTATTAAGAGTTATGCTAGACATTTTAAGTTTCTTCTAGTTAAAAAAATTCCCTGGTGCTAAAATATCAACATTTTCTTATATCTGAATTTAATTTTTAAAAGAATGCTCTTTGACTATGTTTCTAAGTCCTTACATTGGTAAATTTTAAAAAATATTTTATTTTATTTATTTATTAAACATTTTATTTATTTATTTGAGAGAGAGCACAAGAGGGAAGAGGGTCAGAGGGAGAAGCAGACTCCTTGCTGCACAGGGAGCCTGATGTGGGACTCGATCCTGGGACTCCAGGATCATGACCTGAGCTGAAGGCAGTCGCTTAACCAACTGAGCCACCCAGGCGCCCTAAAAAGATTTTATTTTTAAGTAATCTCTATACCCAACATGGGCCTCAAACCTACAACCCTAGAATCAAGAGTCACATGCTCTACAAACTAAGCCAGTCAGGAGCCCCTTTACATAGGTAATTTTTAATTCTGTCATTAAGCACCAACTATGTGCATGTCAGCCATGTCAAATCCATTCAAGAATAAGGCAAGGCAAAAATTAGCAAAATATATCTGCATGCATTTAATGCCATAGAACTGTACCTTTAAAATTGTTCAAATGGTAAATTTTATGTATATTTTATCACACACACACATTATATATGTCTATACAAATCTGAATGCAGTGCTTCCCTAACATTTTGTGCCTACTCTTTAAAAATTGCATCATGGGCGCCTGGGTGGCTCAGTTGGTTAAGCAACTGCCTTCGGCTCAGGTCATGATCCCGGAGTCCTGGGATTGAGTCCCACATCAGGCTCCCGGCTCAGCAGGGACCCTGCTTATCCCTCTGACCCTCTCCCCTCTCATGCTGTTTTTTTTTTTTCCTCTCTCTCTCTCTCAAATAAATAAATAAAATCTTTAAAAAAAAATAAAAATTGCAACATATTTATTTGGACACAACTCTTTCTCCAAAAGACTCGGTCACTCCAGGGACAAGGACTCTCTTAATCGCAGCTGTAACTCCAGGGCCTCTGACACTGTCTGGCTCTTAGTTACCAGGATGGGCAATTATGTGCTGGCTTTTCCAAGTGTTGCTATTGCATATATTTTAATTATCATTTCAATCAAAGCAATGCATTAAACAAGTATGTTGCAAACATTTAAAATACAGGGCAGAAAATTTCCTTATCACATATTATGAGTTGAGTTCAGAAACTCATAGTGGTCATAAAATTCTAGATCTTTAATAAATGTTTGTCAAGTTAATGCAGGAGACTTGAGAAGACAAAAAGAGAAATATAAGTCCTAGCATCACCCAACAGACCTATTTCACATGGAGTGTAAGAGAAGTACATATTGTTATTTAAGAAATACGCCAATTAAGCTTTTCAAGTAGCTATCTAAATAACCCCCTAACACTTTCTCCAAGTACCTTTTAACAAAGACATTGTATTCCAGCCTCAATCTAAAGTTAAGCAGCTGCCTGAAATACCCATTCACTGCTGAGACAAAACAAAAGCTACCTGTTGGTGACTTTATTGACATTCCCGAATACTACAGTGTCATTTTCTTAAACCAAAACTTACAATACTTAGCTATATGTCACTAACAGGTTAGCTTGGATGTTTACATCAAGGAAAGTTGGCTTTTTTTTTTTTTTTTTCCATTCGCGGGGCTAATCCGCCCGACCTCCAGTTTACTTTCAGTTAAAACAATCCAAGACCTAGTTAATCAGATTCTAAACTCAGTGGAGTTCTACAGCCCCAACCATAGCAGCTCAGTGCTTGGGAAAAGGCATCCTAAAAGCTGACTGCCAGAGATCCCAAGCGCTTTCATTTCTTGAAAAGTACAGACCACACCCCAGTCTAGCCAGCTGTGCACCTTACTGGTCGGAATGGCGCGATGGGAGTGGGAGGGAGCAAAAGGCAAGTTTAACAGCTTGGGTCCATGGGGGGTAGGGGAATAATCTATAAAATTTGAGCCCCGAAACTCTTTAGGTTGTGGAGGTTAAAATGGGGCTCGTTTACGTTAGGCCTAAACTTCGACAAGATAAGTGGCGCTAGGGGAAAAAAAAACAAGAGTAAGCTCCCGAGTATTAGTGTTCACGGTGGGGCCGTTAAACGCAGCAGAAAAGCGGGCGTGTGTTTTTTCTTCCTCTTCCCGCCTCCCAAGAGACGCCAGTCCAGTCCTTTCCCTCATTTTCACCCCGGCGGGGTCCAACGGCGGCCCCCGCCGCGGAGCCGGGTAGGAAGCCGCCCCACCCCCTGCGCTGCTCCCGCCCTCGGGGTCCTCTCCGCCCCACCTCCCCCTCGCTACTGGAGGTAGCGGCCACGGCCGTCACGTGTTCTGGCAGCCGCCAAGTGAGGCCGCTTTTGCGACGCAGTGACAGCCAAATGGTGCGACAGGAGGAGCTGCAGCTGCGGCCGCAGCGCCCCGCACCGAGAAGCTTGAGGCGGCTCCCGGCGTCGCCCAGAGGGAGCGACTGAGCAAACAGAATCTGGTGCGGGCGGCGGCGGCGGCAGCGGCGGGCGGGCGGCGAGGGGGAGCCCGCTACGAGTGCCCTCGCTCCCCGCCGCTCTCCATGAACCGGGCGAAATAAGCCGCGCCTCCAGCAGGGGCTGCGCCTCCATGAATCCCTAGGTTTTTTTTTTTTTTTTTTCCTTTCTTTCCCCGCTCCTCACCCCCCACCCCGGGTCCGGTCCCGCCTTCTCCCTTCGCCAGCGGCGGCCGCGGCCAGGTGCGGAGTCCAAAGCGGAGCGCAATGGCGTCCAACCCCGAACGGGGGGAGATTCTGCTCACGGAGTTGCAGGTAAGGGCCGCGGCCCGGGCGGGAGGCGCTGGCGAAAGAGAGAGGGAGAAGGTCTGGCCGCGGGGTCGGGGGCCCAGGGAAGCCGTAGGGCCGCCGCGCCCCTAGCCCGCTAAGTGCGGAAACTCCGGGATGTCACTCGGGAGCCGCTTCCTTCGGGAGCCGGACTCTCTTTCCCCGCCAGAGCTCTGGCCTGCCACCACTTTAATTTGACTCTACCTACCAGAGGGACCCCATCTCTGTCGTCTGCCTGCAGTCCGCTCCCACCCGGTCCCTGGAGCGGCCAGCTCACCGCCCCCTCCCTGGTGTCAGAGCGGCCCGCGGACGCCCCTGTAGCCCCCTCCCTCCTCCAGGCCAGGCCCCGCCTCGCCTTTCCCTTGTACACCGCTCCTTAAACTCCTTTGAATGACTCCCAAGCTGTTTTCTCGTCCCTCCCCTTCTCCTCCGACTCCGCACAAAGAGCGCCCCCATAACTTCCAGCCCCCAGACAAGTTTTTTCTTTTTTTTTTTCTTTCTTGAAGCGTGTCATACCAAATGCTTGCTTCATTTCACTAGCCCTTTTCAGGTGACTGAATTTCTTTCCTCTAATATGAGGGCTACCTTTTCTGCTGTCTCTCTCTCTCTCTCTTTAACCAGATGATACCTATATGATCCTACTTCTTTACTTTCCTGCTCAGATCCGGAAACTCAGATGCTGATGCTTTTCAGACTTTCTTTTTGCCTCCCGTTTGAACACCAGATAAAGAGCTGCAGAAGTTGTTTACAAATGAGCAAGCAGTAGACTGAGGGAGAATGTTGGGCACCAACATTCTTGCCTGCAGAAGATGAGAACAAAATAGGTCCCTTGATTAGTTGAGTCTATGTCGAGTAGTAATAGTATTGTTGTCCATTTACGGCTAAATAGTTAATGATGTAGGCACGATTTTTGCCCTTAAGTCTATGCTCTGCAAGAGTACCTACGTTGAGTTTATTTTTTATTACTTTGGGGTGTGCAGAGATGTTCACATCTGGATTAAAATTTTATGCTTGTTTTTTGACTTATATTTATTTTGATGTGTTTTACTGTAGACGTCTTCTAGCTATTCGGATATTGGAGATAGGAATTAAGACAAGAAAAAAACATATTTTTGTGCATTACAGTTAATTTTTTTTAAGAGAGTGAATCTGGACACTGAAGGGTTGATTCTTGATGATGCCAGAATTAAGTACTGCAACTGCTTCTAATTATTTTGCTGTTTAAATATATTTTTCGATAGATTTCTTTATAAGTTCGGTTTGTTATGCAGTTAGATGTAGGCTTGAAGGCACTATTATAATATTTGATATTTAGTGAACAAAAGTAGAGATTTCAACAAGGTATAACAATGCAGGGTTACTAACTTGGAATCCTTTGAATCAGCTTTGAATTTATGTCATTGAACGTGTTGCCATATAGTAGTAGTCTAATTACTCTTAGCCTTTTATAAGGTCTTACAGCATACCACATTTGCTAAATGAATGGAATTTATTGTTTCATTAATTTACATGAGCTTTTAAAATGAGGTTTGTTTGAGGCACATTGGAAATGCTTTCCACTGCCTAGTCTTGAAATATGAAAAGCATACTTTGGTTCTGAGAAAAATCCGTAAAAATGGGCAGGAGCATTTTTCTGTGAATGGAGTGGCTTCAGAATTTAAAGTACTTGGCATCTTTATTTGTATTTTATAGAAAATTGTCATAAAAGACACTCATTTTGGCACTGGACCTGAAAATGTATTTTCATATGTATTAAAACACTTAGGGACTTTTAATAAGATCAATTTTGACAATAAGAAGTAAGCAAGTCAGAGAGATAACAAATTTTAAACATGACTATTTAAAAAATGGGATCAAAGTAGGGGAACACTAATCTAAAGTTAGATTTCTTTTAAAAAAAGTATAACCCCTTCCAGAAAAAGAATGATTTTTATTAAGTGTTACCTTGTAAGTTGACAAGTATACCCAGGACATTTTTCTTGGTGTGTTTGACTCCCAGTTTTAATAAAAGCTATTGCATTTGGACTTTATCATGTATATTAAATTAATTGAGAACACTATAACAGCACCTAAGAGAAATGGTGATAAAATTTGCTCACCAAGTTTATCCATCTATTCAAATCTTTTACTGTTATATTGGGTCATGGAACTAGTATATAGTAACCAAATATTTCTCAAACTTGTTCAGAGAACCAGTTTTTTAAAAAGCACCTGTGTTGTTTGAATTTGTTTAAATTGAGAAATTAATATGTAGTTCTTAATGCTTCTCTGACATAACTGATTTTAAGTATTTAAATAATTATGTAGCAAACTTTAAAACTGGTGTTTAGTAGTTAAAAACTGTTACTTTGTCCTATCTTGTCTCAGGAATACTTGAACTGAAAGTTACATGTTACAACCTACTTTTAATGAAATTGATACTTATTTTTAGAAACATTGTATATCCAGCATTTTTTTAAAAAGATTTTATTTATTTATTTATTTGAGAGGGAGAAAGAGAGAGCAAGAGCACAAGAGCAGGGGGAGGGAAAAGCAGACTCCCCGCTAAGCAGGGAGCCCCACACCACGCTTGGTCCCAGGACGCTGGGATCATGACCTGAGCCAAAAGCAGACACTTGACTGAGCCATTCAGGCGCTCCTGCATATCCAACATTTTAAAACTGTTTTTCAAATTATATTGCAAAATTTGAAATACTTTACTACTTGAGTTGGAATTGGCTTATTAATAACCTTCAGTTGTGGAAAGACAAAACAAAATCTGAAACCATAATGTTTTGCCTTGTTATTTACTGTAATATTTCTATGGAGTAATGTTTCTAACTCTTGCTAGAAATTTAGGAGGCTTATTCAACAAGGAATCACTAATAAAGTACACACAAACTTTGATGGCTAGAGGCCTCAATGTATAAGGAATGTTTGCTGTAGTAAAAATAAAAATAGGCTGTTAAAAATATAAACTTAATTGGCAGTTTCTAATTTTTATCTTTTATAACTAGTTTTATCCTGTTCTCTTTATTTTTTATTTGAAGTGGAAACCTAGTGAGATATTTCTTTCGTGGGGCCAAAGAAATTAACGACTGAGCCACCCAGGCGCCCCAAGGGCCAAAGAAATTAAAGTTTATTTTTAAGGAAACTGGATTAATGAAAACTAAAGAATCTCAAAATGAAAATATTGGCTACAACAGTAATTTGGTAGACTGCAGATTCACATATTGAATACCATACTAATAAAGTTACCTTGTTGAGTATCAGTGATTTATATTCATCAAAATGCCTGATAAAGTATTAGGCCAGGAATCTTAAATTCCATTCTCAGCAGAATTTATTTAAGTAGAGGTGACTTGCTCAAGTGGAAGGTTGAGGTAGTTAGCCTTAAATTATAGGAATTCATTTCAAGAAACATTTATTGGGTATCTACAAAGTCTATCCTATATCGGAGGATATAAAGTTGAGAAGATATGACTTCACTTTCTAGAAGAGAGTACAAATAACAGTTACTGAACATTTGCTATATGTCAGTTATTGTATTTGGTACTCTGTCTACCTTATTTTATAGTCCAATAAGGTGGGTGTTGTTATTTCCATTTGACAGATCAGGAAACTATGTTTAGGACTGTTAGGTAGATTGTTCATGGTTACACTGTAAATCTGAGTTTGAAATCAGATCTGGGCGTTTTCCACTATACCGTTTTTTGAGCTGCCTCAGTTCTGTGGACCTGTAAATATTTTGCATTGCAGTGTTATTGATGTGTAAACTTTCCAAAAAATTGGCCAAAAATGTAATTAACCAGAGTTAACTTTAATATAAATGTTGTACTATTTGTTAGTCTCCTCTATAACAAAGAAAAATAATTTCTATGTTCTATTGGTAGTCTGTAATTTAGCAGTGCTTTGTTGTTGGGAATAAGCTGTAGTATTTTATAAAGAATAACAGTGCAAAATAACTTTTTGCAGGTTTTCATCATTTAACAATTACTGTTTCTAGTGAAAGTTGTCTAATGTTTGCTGAAATCTTTCCAGATGATTTTGCATTTCTCTGTAGTGTATCCCATAAGATAAACTTAGCTTTAAAACTTTAAGCCCATGTGTAACCAAGCTATGTGTTTGGCACTTAATAGGCACTCAATACATTGATGAGATGGTGCCCACCATTTGTCACCTACAATGAGAAATGTCTTGACTGTTCTAACAGAAGTTGATTATAGGGGCGCCTGGGTGGCTCAGTTGGTTAAGCGTCTGCCTTCCGCTCAGGTCATGATCTCAGGGTCCTGAGATCAAGTCCAGTGTCGCGCTCCCTGCTTAGAGGGAGTCTCCTTCTCCCTCTCCTCCCTTGTGCTCTCTTGCTATCTTTGTCTCTCTCGCACACGCTCTCAAATAAATAAATCTTAAAAAAAATTGATTATAATCATTGCCCTAAGAAATTACTTTAACATTTTGAATCCCTTGTCCCAAAAATATTCCCTTGAAAAGTTCAAAAGGGATTTCTGCCCTAGTTATGTTACACCTACATACAACACAGTTATTTTACCCATTTGGTGCGAAATTAGGTGACATCTAATTTTGCAGTGATGCTGGAAAGTAGAACGTCTCTGTCGGGATGATTAAGATTTTATGGTGGGTTGAAGGAATGTAGTATGAGAACGTAAGGGTGGATTTTACAGTTCTTTTCTTTTTTTAAAATTTTTTAAAAGATTTTATTTGTTTGAGAGAGAGAGAGAAAGAGAGAAAGCATGAAAGGGTCAGAGGGAGAAGCAGACTCCCTGCTGAGCCCGGAGCCTGATGTGGGACTTATGACCCGAGCCAAAGGCAGTTGCTTAACCAACTGAGCCACCCAAGTGCCCTTCTTTTCTTTTTCAAAAGAGAGAGAGCATGAGTGGGAAGGGCAGAGGGAGAAGAGACAATCTTAAGCAGCCTCCACACTCCGCCACTCAGCACAGATCCTGACATGGGGCTTGAACCTACAACCCTGAGATCATGACCTGAGCTGA